AAAAAGCTTGCGGTTTCGGAAATATAAGGTGTCAAAAATTCAAATTTTGCAACTTTTAAGAGGCGATAAGTTGAGAGGTGATGGAGATGAAAAAAAAATTTTTCTTCTAACAAAATAAACTATTTATTAGTGTCTAAAGGGTGTTCAAGTTTCAGACTCCTACAATGTACGGTGTGGAAGAAAAACGGTATCAAAAATTTGGAAAAAACGAACTTTAGATAACGGTAAATTTTAGCGGCCATTTTGTTTTTTTAAAGTTTAGATATCGTCACCCCTAAGTTATTTTGTCGCATATCCCAAAATTCGTGTTTTGGGAAATCGTAGTTGAAGAAGTAAGATAAAATTTTAAATTTTTATGATTTTTAATTATTAAAGAATTAATTAACACCGAACTCAAGTGCCTTGGCACAAAGAGTTTTCTGGACTTTTGAAACAAAGAGTTTTCTGGTCCAGAAACATCTTGTCGTATGTGCATTTTTTTACATAATTTTTCAATATCATTACACGTACGACAAAAGAATATTGCCATACGACATTATAATTCTGAAAATTATAGGAAACATATGAAGTTTAGATTATTAATCATTTTATTATTTTAGATTAATAAAATAGTTTTTTTTTAAATAGTTTTCATTTTACAAAATAAAGTTTTATAGTGTGTTACATATTATTTATAAGATGATAGGTATTCAATTCTATATCAAAATAAAAATTAATCTCTTATAATTAAATTTGAACCCTTTTAATACATTTTGTAAGTCTTAGCATATTATTTTATAATATATTCTAATAATAAACAAGATTTTCCTTAAAAAGTAAATGCTTCATCTTTTTTTAAGTAATATTTTATTTTGTGCTTATAATACTAACACATATTATTTCAAAGGTATAAAAAATTAGCTGATTTTATTATTTGTTACCTGACATACCTGGTGCTTGTCATTGTTTTTTTCGAGAAATATAGAAAACTGTTTTGTTTTTTATTAGAATCCTTTTTTACGTCGTCTTGTTACTTCTTTTTTTAATGAGTACTATAGAAACTATTTTTCTTTTCATCGTCCATATGCCAAAGTTTGGAATATTTTGTAGTCATCATCAAAAGTGTAAAGATAGAAACACGTAAATTGGCAAGGAGGTTTTAATTTTTATTCTTAAACATTTATATATAAATGCTCAATAAAATTTTACATATACCTTCCCTTAGTCGCTTATTTTGCGTTCAGTACAATAAAAAAAGGAGTTCCACAAGGATCTGTCTGACCGGTTCAAAATTTTTATAAATGATATGGCAAAGTTAAATTTCTAAGGGTCCATTCAACTTTATGAGAATGACGCAGTGCTTAAGTATGAAGAAAATAATAAACACGACTTAAAATATTCCATCTAAGAGGATTTGGAAATGGTATTTGAGTGTCTTAATGAATATCGTCTTTCAATTAATAAAAGGAAGACAAAATTTATGGTCTTTGGAAATAAAAAAATCAACAATACTTTCTTTCTTCTCGATAATACTATTATTACTACGGTCAAGTCATTCAATTATCTGGGTCTCATGCTTGACAATAAATAAAGATGGTCTGAACATATTGATTTACTCATCAACAAGATTACTTCATATGTGTTTATACTGTTACGACTACGAAACTATCTCTCTGCGGATGCGTAATATTCCATTTTTGTTCCTATTTTGTTAATATTTCTCAAACAAGTTCGAATAAGATCAATGTTCTTCACAAAAAGGCTATTAAAATAATAAATAATTTTCCAATAAGGTACCCTAGCGATGAGCTGTACAATGAAAAATATGTGAGTTTTGAAAACATTTTTAAAAAGGGGCTGTATATGATAGCATTTAAGGTAATAAATAATTTTATAAAACACAATTTCATTTTAAATAGGATGTTCAATATTCACAGTTATAATACAAGGAATAAATCTAATTTTTATCTTAGTCTTTTTAAAACAAACAATCAGAGAACTACCACTAGAACTAAAAAATATTGTTTATGTTCCTCAATTCAATCAATAGATCAATAGATCTCAATAGAAAGAAATAAAAAAGTATATGGGTATAAGCACAAAATAAACAAATTAAGGTTTTAAAATTGCGTGATTAAATTTGAAAAAGTTAAAAATATTTTAGTATTACACTTTTTAACAAGAAAAAAACATTTTTTGAATTGTACCATTTATTGATAATAGTTGCATAGTTTATTTTAAAAATAATTGTTAAATGTTATAATTATAAATTTAGGTTAAAATATTCTATACAATCTCAATATATCTGTATTATGAACATAAGGCATAGGGCTAAGATCAATATGTCTATTTTCTTTTCAGTGATATTGTACATATATAATTATTTATTTTTTTTTTGTTTGAATTATTAAAATATATATATATATATATATTTAACTGTTCTATGTTATATTAAACTGTTAAAATGTTTTGATTTAACGTTTGATATAATCAGATTTATTGAAAACAGCAATATTATCATATAACAGTCAAAACTACGTTAACGAGACTATTCATTATCAATTTTTGTTATTGTTTCTCGTTACTTTTTTAAATTTATATATAAATTTTAAATTTTTTTATGAACATAATTTTACTTTCTACATTTTATCTACCGTAATTTTTTTAAAAATTATCATTATCAACAAGGTACATTAATTTTTGTTGGCACTGCTTAAATTAAAAGCATGTGTCATATGAGTCAGCTGTTTAAATTAAACCATAAAGTACGAAAGAAGAGAAAAATAAAAAAGTAAAATGATCATCGCGTTGTACAATATTACAAAAATCAAGTGCGTTCAGCTTTGTATGATGTCGTAAAAATTCGTAAAATTTTTCAGTTGCAATTTAGACACCGTAAAGTTTAGTTGAATTTATTAATTTATAAAATCATACCGTTTAATTCATTTTTTTAAACGCTTTGGTTTGCCAGTATTTATATAAAAGAATAACACAAAAATTAAATATATAAGTTATATTCCAATTTTTGTAGTTCTTTAATAAATAAAATAAACTGTTAATTTACTTCAAACTTTATCTCTGCTTTTAAAAATAAAGTAAACAGTTTAGTTTAAAACCTTCAACTTTTGTAATACATTTCAAATAAGTAATCGGGATCTGTAAGGTCGAATGCAAAAACAGTAAAAAAGAGTAAGGAAAATCTTTATAAGTATTTATATTAGCTTTACATTCCATATTTTAACAACAATGTAGATGTTATGTATGGGTAACATACAGTACATATTCTAATACAGTGGAAATATAGACCGTGTGGTATTGCGTACTTATATCAAAATATAATTTACATGCATATGTTATAAAAAAGAAATAAAATACCAAATTATAGCCAAATAATTTACTTATCAGTCTTTGTTTTTTTAATATGATTCTTCTATGAATATGCACAAAGCAGACTTTCTTTTTTAAAAGTGATGTAAAGGGAAAAATTTTTATGTGTATATTTTTTTTTATTTTTGTAAACGCAAAAATAGAATTGAATTAAACAAAATTTTAGAAACTAAAAATCGAAAAGTTGTTAAGTCCTTCTATAGGGTAATTTTTTTTTTAAAAATTCAAATACATTTTTTGCAGTTTCGAAATATTTTTCCAAGCCTGGCAAATATTTTATGCTACTTTTGATTATGAAGGCTAAATAAGAATATAAAATGTTGTTCGCTATAAAAATAATTTAAAGAATATTAAAATGTAGTATGATGATCATTCGACTACATATTCGTTTTTATTCACTATTTATTAAGTTTCTAATTATTAAGTTTCTAAGATCGCAGTCCTTCTTTATAAGAACATGAGCACAAAAATTAAATATTAAGAGAACATTTAGCGGAAAATTTCTTGATTTGCTTCCTTCTCTTTCGCACAGTTAAGCAGAAAGTTTCATTTTTATTTGACTTTTTAATCTTTTTTAATGATATTTTTTTAATTTACCCCTTTATTAAATTACAAATAGAAGGCAAAGTTCCAAAATTACTCACATATTATAAACGTTTTCTGAAAATTTTGATAATTTTTGAGGAAGTAAAAGATACATGTAAATAGATACTCATAAATTTTAAATGCGTACGAACATACTGTGCAATACAAGCTCTTTCCAACTCTTATACTGCATATACATATAGATACATCTGCATACATATGTACATACTTGTTTCAACTATGAACATGAACAGATAATGATGTACTAAAAATAAGTTTAAAATAAATTCTTATTTAAGAAAATAAGAAAGGGAGAACTTAGAACTTCTTCTTATATTTTACACATATATTTATATACAGATACATTTAGATATATAAAAATGTATATCTATGCTTACATACACGTGTGTGTATTGATGGCAATACTGAAATTGATTGCATGGACCAAATGACTGGTAATTTGGCTCCAAGGGCTACAAATCTAAAGAAATTTTAAATTCAATTGGACATAGGTATCTACATACATATTCTTTTAAAAATAAAATAAATAATTTCATATACTTATTATGTGTTGATACTTGCATATTTGTGTTTGTACATATATATAATAATGTACGAACAAATAGTCTTAGAGGTTTTGTTGAGTTTAGATTTAGACAGATTTTTGAAATGTACTCTGGTAAATGTTATGTATGTATGTACATATATTGTGAATATGCCCAAGCATAAGTTTATATAATTAGTCTAAAAATAACAAAAATGATATGAATTACACATGCACGAGTACATTCATTTTTAAGTAAATAAGTATATACTATTTTCATACAACATAAATTATGTCTTTAAATGTATTTATAGCTTAGAAAAAACCGAAGAAGAAATAAAAAAGAAACGCAGGGAAAATTCTTAAAAAAGACAAGGGAAAAGTGACGAAAAAATTTCCTTTTCTAAATGTTACAGTTTTATCAATACGCCAAGGTTTCTCCACCAGTTTGGATCGTCGTGTTATTTTTCGGTTTCATTTACATACCTTCTTTTTTATTTAGTTCCTTAGAAAGCTCGGTTTTAATTTTTGTTATTCTTTGTAGGTTTGCATATTTTTCGTGCAGAATAAAATAATTATTTTAATTTATAAAAAATTCGTTATTATTTTCGTATTATTTAATTTATAATTAGATAAAATAAGTGGTTTTCTATAACAGTAAAAGTGCTACAAGCCAAAAAAGAACTTTCAGCGCAGATCATTAAGTAACGAATCTAAAATAATATTAAATAATAAAAGGTGTGAATTTTTAGAATATTGAATGTGTGTATTTTTGAATCACTTGGAAATATATTTTTTTTTCTTAAAGATTTTATTTTGGCATTCACTCATTTGCTATTAAGAAAAGAAACCTTTCTCGAATAAGTGGAGGTTTTTCTAAAATATTAATTACATATTATTAGAATTATTGAGTCCAATTTGAATTCGTTTTTAACTTAACACAAATTTGCAAAACTACATTCATAAATAGTTTATAAAATTAAATTCCCAAGATTTAGCTGAAAATTTCTCAGTATACCAAAAACAGTTCTGTTGATTTATGCAGTTGTTAAAGACTCTTCTTTTCAAAAAGGATCAAAAGGCAAATTCAAAGTTTGACAAGATTAAAAATTTATATACATATGTATCAAATTTCCAAAGCTTAGAAAATTTAAGTTATAAATCAAATAAAATTTAAGTCATACATATATCTAGTCACAAAATATAAGTTATATATGTACTCTTTTTATTAAATTTTTGGAAATGTAGAGAATTTTAGCACATATTGAGTCCGAAATAGTATACATACATACATATTGTGTAAACTTAACACAATAGATAATATACGTAAATCATATTCGTAAATTTACATACATATACGTAAATCATCTATAAGTTTTTATACCCGTACGAACGTATGCTCGAAGGGTATACTAAATTTGCCTTACCGTTTGTAACGTTGAGAAATAACGGTCTTAGATATGGACTCAAGTGTATGTTTTTGATCAGCGTCGAATTTTGAGTTGATTTAGCTTTGTCTGTTCGTCCGTCCGTCCGTCCGCCCGTCCCAACGATAACTCAAACTGCCATACAACTTCAAAAGTTATTTGACTATATCCCAGAAACTATAAAAGCTGTAATATTGATATTTTACACAAGCGAATATATTAGGACCGATGTGCTTGAAAAAATTCGTTAAAATATCTTGGCTCTTTCTGGTAGCTGCCGTACAATTTCAATAGTAGTTTGGCACACACAGTATTTTGAAAAACACAGTAAGGTAATACGGCAACTTAAAGTCATTGTCTGTTCCATAGTCAGTTATGGCTTATTTATTCGCACATAGGATAACCAATTCGTACGGGTATCACAGAGTTGACAAGGTCTCTATTTTTTCTCGTTTTATTTGTTATCAAATATGATTCATTTTACTTATGAAAATAATTAATGTTTTTTATGCCACAACAATGAAAAAAAATAAGTTGGAAATAATATGTGTGTATGTAAGTTTATTGAAATTTGTACTTAGAATTTTTCAAGTTCATTAATCTTATTAATGTGTATATGTATATACATAAATCTTTTAATACCGATGGTGTAATAGAGTTGAACATGAAATATTAAAAATTAAAAGACCTATACAAATTTTAAAATGGATTTATGTACACACATATATAAGTTTCTATGCATATATTTGAATGTATTTTACTCAATATAATTATAAAGAAATTTCATTAAATTAAAACCATAAGCCAAATACCATGCGGTCAAAGACGTTACAAACATTAGTTTAACTTTCATACTAGATTGACACATTTTTGCGGCTTTATTGTTCTTAAAAAAATTGCAAACCACTTGTGGAAAATGAATGCTTGGTAAAGCATGTATGTACATATGTCGTATATAAAAAATAACGTTCATAAGAAGTCATTATAAATTCGGTTTAGTTGTTGTTCGCGGTGTCTCGTAGTATTTTAAACATGTTTATAGTTAATATAATTTTATTACGAGATCATATTTTCAGAAATCGACTATTGCTGCAAAAGATTTTTACGAAATATATGTATATTATGTATGTTCACACATATGAATATACTGCATGCAAAACATAACTTCCGAATACATATGTGTTTATATTCATAACATTGAGCGTAATATTTAGATTGTTTTTAACTAACTTTCCGAGCTTTACATTCTTGTGCATAAACCAGTTGGAATAATCTAAATAACCTGGAAAAAAACTTACTTATGTACTTGTCTGAAGAAGATTAATATACATATGTACACAACATATTTTTGTACATTATATTTGGTTGAGAGTTAAATTAATATAATAAATAATTATGTTCAAATTGTATTTGAAATATACTTGAAATATACCATGATTTTGATTGTACAAAAGCTGGGTTCCTTTTTTTATTATATTAACATCTTTTCTGAATAATCTGGATTAAAGCGCAAATGTTTTTATTAAATATTTTTAAAATATCTCAATTTTTAATTTCAGCTTCAACTTAAACATCAATAATACGTAGATTGAGAGATTCAAGGAGTTTAATTTTCTTTATACTTCGTCAAAATCAAAATGAGAGAAATAGTTCATTTACAAGCTGGTCAATGTGGTAATCAAATTGGCGCTAAGGTAATCAAAAACAAAGTATATACCAAGTAAACTACACATAAACAATTTTTTTAAGAAATTTAAAAAAAAAATTATAATGTGGATTTAACAATACGTATTTCTACTAGTATAAATCTCCTGGTAGTTTATCAATAAATTAAGATTAACTTTTTTAATTCAGTAATTCTATAACTATGAACCCTATGTGTATATCCTAGTTCCTAAAAATTGAAATATATACCAATACCAAAACATAAAATAACTACATAATTATCCAAATATAAGTAATCCAATATCAGATTCCAATTGCCTTTATTGTAACAAAATATTGTTTTGCGCAACATTTAATGATAAACTCTAAAAGTACAAAATATTTTTAACTGGATTATACGCGTAAACATACATATGATAAATATGATTGAACACTATGTTGTGTCTTATACTTATAAACAGCCCCGGATTTATCATACATGCAAAGTATGCATTTGCAATGGGCGATAAAAAATAGGGGCGCCATTGAAAACTTAAAAAACCCCTAAATTTAAAAAAAAAAAATTTTCACCCAAAAAAAAGGATTCCAAGTTTTTTTTTATACATCAATTTATAGCGAAATTAACTTAATAAAATCTACCTACATGCAAACATAATATTTTGTTCCTATACATATTTTCTATTTGCACCATATAACAAAAAATGTTCATAGAATTAAAATTACTCATACATTTCTTTACTCTACACTACTCTTTCATTCTTATTTTTTATGTACTGTATATGCCTATAAACACAGAATATTATTTCACACAGTGTATACATTCAATCGTTCATATATATAAGTGAAATCGTCTCATATAATATACATACATATATAGAAGCAATGTACGCAACAAATAAAAATATTCAAAAATACACATGTACACATAATTTATATTGTCTAATATGAATAAGATCAACACTCATGCGTACACATATAATTATCTCTTAAAGCAAAATTTTTATTTTGCTGAGATTGCTCCCTATCAACACTCGCTCGTACACATATAATTATATCACAAAGCAATGTTTTTATTATGCTTAGTGGCTACACTCGTTCGTACACATTATATTTAAATTGTTTCATACATGCAAAATTTTATTTTTGCTTAGTTGGCGCCCACTCACCAAACAAACAAACACATTATTATAATGTATTACTTTTCTGTATACTATTGCATTAGTAAACAACAAGAACAAAACAAAAAAAACACAAATTAAGAATGAGAATAGAAAGAAATTAGAAAAAGAGAATGAGAGCAATATTCTTAAATGATGGAAAGCATAGCTTGATATTGAGATTGTGTATACCAATATTTTGTTTTTGTTTAACAACAAAAAATTTTGAATGAATTTTAAAATTACATGATCGTTATGAATTTCTACTACTATGTTCTGCTTTCGTTTTTGAAAAAACTGTTATCAATCACAGAATTAAATTTTAATTGATAAAATCTACTACTTATATTGAATTGAAAAAATGTTGTTTAATAATCAAGTGAATGTTAAGAATTTTTATGCTGAATTGATGTAGTGTAAGTGATCCAAAAAATAAGAGTAAAATGAAATGGCGCATAATTTGCTTCACACATTTATCTCCAAAATTAAAACAGTTAAGCAAAACGACATTCTGAAATTTCAAAACCACGAGCCTATAAATACCAGTAAATGCATTTATTTTAATAAAATCTAAAAAATATAATGAACAGTATAAAAGCTTATAGCTATGTACATGAAAAGCTTAGTTTTTAAGTCACAAATTTTAGAACGAAACTTTGATTTTCCTTAAATTTTTGAATGCAAGTCGAAACTTTTTTTATACGCTGCTTCATTTCTCAGGCGATTTGTGAAATAAAAAGCCAAATTTTACGAATAAAAATAAAAATAATTTTTTACTTTTTTTCATATTCAAATAAGCTTTGAAAAAGTTCATTTGATATAATTTTCATAGAACCTTTTACAATAAGTTTCACTTACGTCAAAAAGTAAATTTTTTGGTTGCTAAAATCAAAAAATCAAGTTTAAGTGATTGATATAAATCTGATCATAACCTCATAAAAAAACGTACAGTTAAATAAATTACCTTGTTTTTGAATTTATAAAACAAAAAATTGAAAGTTTAGTTCCAGACTTTAATTCTATAATTCAGCACAATAAGGTTACAAGAAACTGCTTTATGATGCACAATGTGCAATGCCTATTAAATTTTGTTCACAGTAATAAAATAGGTGGAAAGGTTGAAGGGGGGGGGGGGGGGGGGGCGCACTTTTTAGGAACCGCTTAGGGCGACGAATACATCAGAACCGCGCCTGCTTATAAATAAAAATTTTTAAAGTCAGCCGAATTCAAAATACAGAAAATAAAAAATGAAAAATAAAAACAAATGAATCATAATTAATTAATTCAACGGAAGGGAATTTATTTCTTATAAGGTTTCGTATAATTTGTTTATTGAATTTGCAATAATTGCAAATTACTGAAGAAGACTTATTGTTAAATTTAGTATGTCTTAAACTAAATTTAGTTTTTTATACCCTGCACTTCGTGAAGGGTATATTAACTTTGGTATGGAGTTTGTAACTACTTGAAGGAGTCATCTGCAGTATGGACAAATATATATATTCTTGCTTAGCGTAAAATTCTGCGTCGATTTAGACATGTCCGTCCGTCCGATCGCACGTCCGTCCGTCCGATCGCACGATAACTCAAAAACGAATAATGCAATTGACACCAAACTTTCACAAGTTTTTTCTTTTGTGCCAAGGACGAACCCTATTGTTATTGGACTAATTCGAACAACGGGTTTGGGTAGCTGCCATACAACTCAAAGAGTTTATTTTAAATATTTCAAAAACTAATAAAGCTATAAATATAAAATTTTGAATACATGTGTCCAATTATATTCTACACGTGCTCTAAAAATTGTAATGGGGTAGCTGCACCGGTTCGGGTGGCTGCCATACTACTCCAACAGCAAATTTTTTATATTCGGCAAAATAATAAAGTCAGATTCATGAAACTTGGCAGTTATGTGTCCAATTATAGGTCAGATATATTTCTGAAGTTTTAGAGGAATTGCTTGACAGGTTCGGGTACCTGCCATACAACTCCAGAAGCTAATTTTAAATATTTGGAAAAATAATAAAGTCAGATTCATGAAACTTGGCAGTCATGTGTCCAATTATAAATCTAATATATTTCTAAAGTTTTGGTGGGATTGCTTGACAGGTTCGAGTAGCTCCCATACAAGTCAAAAAGCTTATTCTTTATATTTGGAAAAATAGTAAAGTCAGATTCATGAAATTCGGCAGTTGTGTGTCCGATTATAGATCAGATATATTGGTGAAGTTTTAGTGGAATTGCTTGACAGGTTCGGGTACTTGTCATACAACTCCAAAATCTTATTTTACATATTTGGAAAAATAATAAAGTCTGAATCATGAAACTTGGCAGTTGTATGTCGAGTTATAGGTCACATATATTTCTGAAGTTTTGGTGGAATTGCTTGACAGGTTCGAGTAGATCCCATACAAGTCTAAAAGCTTATATTTAATATTTGAAAAAATAATAAAGTCAGATTCATGAAACTTCGCAGTTGTGTGTCCGATTATATCCAATTATAGGTCAGACATGTCCGTGAAGTTTCTATAGAATGATTTCACAGGCAATTGCTATCCAATAATGAGTGTTGCAGGGTATAATTCAATCGTTTTATACCGACTGAAACATTTTTACTTGTTTTATTTACATTATATAGAAATGTGACTGAAATTTAATCGATATTTTACAAATGCTGCTTGACTATTTAAAAGTTTTTAATTTTTTTAACTATTGTTACTTCTAGAATATTTTCGAGTACCTACATAAAATGAAAACGCGTGTTGTATTTCTTTATTTTTTTTTAAAGTTAAATCTTCTGTATTAATAATTTGTCATGAAAAAGGAAAAGTATTTTGTTAAAGGTTTTCACAGCTGGTACCATCATTATTTAAAATTTAACAATAGATTATTAATTGAGTTATTTGAGATAATAAAAGTAATAAAAAAGAACATTTCAGTCGGTCTAAACCGGCTGAATTATATCTTGCACCTAATTGACAATCCAAGTACAAACACTTGTTTTTCAAATATTTAGAATTAACTTTCATGGTTCTATGACAGTAACTCGAACCTGTCAAACCATCCCACAAAAACTTCGGGGATGCCTTTGACCCATAATTGGAAAGATGACTGCTAAATTTCATGAATCTAGCTTAATTATTTTTCTGAATATATAAAATAAGCTGTTGAGTTGTACGCCAGCTACCTGAACCAGTACAGTCATTTTATTAAAATTTTTAGAACATATGTAGAATGTAATTGAACACAAGTATACAAAATTTCATATTTATACCTTTATTCGTTTTCGAAATATTTAAAAGAAGCTCCTTGAGAACTGTTGTAACTGTTGTAACGATTTGTCCAATTACAATAGGATACGTCAAAAGAAACAACATGTGAAAGTTTGATAACATTTTTCTTTATTCGTTTTTGAGTTATCGTACGATCTGACAGACGGACGCACGGGCGGACATGTACAAATCAATGCAGAATTTTACGATGAATAAGAATATATATACATATATATATATCAATACCGCTCCTTCATGTGATTATAAACTCCATACCAAATTTAATATACCATTCATGAAGGTGCAGCGTATAAAAATAACATATGGTAAGAAAACATACGTAACGACAAATATTTCATACCGCAACTGATTTTGCAAGGCAAAATTGAGGGAAGAAGGCGTGTGGGAAGAAAGCAGATGTCTTGGCTCAGAAAGACAGGGAGGCATATAGAAATGTAGTCGCAAACATCCAGTAAGTAGATACGCAGAAGAAGAAGAAGAAGAAGAAGAAAACATATTTCTGCGTTTGCATCAGTGTCAAACTTCTGTGGGTTCGGGATCACCAAAAATTTAAAGTGAAATGAGCGGATGTATGGAGGG